GGAGAGCATGCTGGGGGAGTTTGTATTGATTAGCGAGGCCAGGAGAGCATGCTGGGTGATATTGATTAACGAGGACAAAAGAGCATCCTGTGTGATATTGATTAACGAGGCCAGAAGAGCATGCTGGGGGAGTTTGTATTGATTAGCGAGGCCAGGAGAGCATCCTGGGGGAGTTTGTATTGATTAGCGAGGCCAGGAGAGCATCCTGGGGAGTTTGTATTGATTAGCGAGGCCAGAAGAGCATGCTAGGGGAGTTTGTATTGATTAGCGAGGCCAGGAGAGCATGCTGGGGGAGTTTGTATTGATTAACGAGGCCAAAACAGCATCCTGTGTGATATTGATTAACGAGGCCAGAAGTGCATGCTGGGGGAGTTTGTATTGATTAACGAGGACAAAAGTGCATCCTGTGTGATATTGATTAACGAGGCCAAAACAGCATCCTGGGGGAGTTTGTATTGATTAACGAGGACAAAAGAGCATCCTGTGTGATATTGATTAACGAGGCCAAGAGAGCATCACGTGTGATATTGATTAACGAGGCCAAGAGAGCATCCTGTGTGATATTGATTAACGAGGCCAAAAGTGCATGCTGGGGGAGTTTGTATTGATTAACGAGGCCAAGACAGCATCCTGTGGGAGTTTGTATTGATTAGCGAGGCCAGAAGAGCATTCTGCCTGATATTGATTAACGAGGCCAAAGCAGCATCCTGTGTGATATTGATTAGCGAGGCCAGAAGAGCATGCTGGGGGAGTTTGTATTGATTAGCGAGGCCAGAAGAGCATGCTGGGGGAGTTTGTATTGATTAGCGAGGCCAGAAGAGCATCCTGTGTGATATTGATTAACGAGGCCAAAACAGCATCCTGGGGGAGTTTGTATTGATTAACGAGGCCAGGAGAGCATCATGCATGATATTGATTAGCGAGGCCAGAAGAGCATGCTGGGTGATATTGATTAACGAGGACAAAAGAGCATCACGTGTGATATTGATTAACGAGGCCAGAAGAGCATCATGTGTAAAATATTGATTAACGAGGCCAAAAGTGCATGCTGGGGGAGTTTGTATTGATTAACGAGGCCAGGAGAGCATCCTGTGTGATATTGATTAACGAGGCCAAGAGAGCATCCTGTGGGAGTTTGTACTGATTAACGAGGACAAAAGAGCATCCTGGGGGAGTTTGTATTGATTAACGAGGCCAAAACAGCATCCTGTGTGATATTGATTAACGAGGCCAGAAGAGCATCCTGTGGGAGTTTGTATTGATTAACGAGGCCAAGAGAGCATCCTGTGGGAGTTTGTACTGATTAACGAGGACAAAAGAGCATCCTGGGGGAGTTTGTATTGATTAACGAGGCCAAAACAGCATCCTGTGTGATATTGATTAACGAGGCCAAAACAGCATCCTGTGGGAGTTTGTATTGATTAACGAGGCCAAGAGAGCATCCTGTGGGAGTTTGTACTGATTAACGAGGACAAAAGAGCATCCTGGGGGAGTTTGTATTGATTAACGAGGCCAAAACAGCATCCTGTGTGATATTGATTAACGAGGCCAGAAGAGCATCCTGTGGGAGTTTGTATTGATTAACGAGGCCAACAGAGCATCCTGCGTGATATTGATTAATGAGGCCAGGAGAGCATCCTGTGTGATATTGATTAATGAGGCCAGGAGAGCATCCTGTGTGATATTGATTAATGAGGCCAGGAGAGCATCCTGTGTGATATTGATTAACGAGGCCAAGAGAGCATCACGTGTGATATTGATTAACGAGGCCAGGAGAGCATCCTGGGGGAGTTTGTATTGATTAACGAGGGCAAAACAGCATCCTGTGTGATATTGATTAACGAGGCCAGAAGAGCATGCTGGGGGAGTTTGTATTGATTAACGAGGCCAAAACAGCATCCTGTGTGATATTGATTAACGAGGCCAGAAGTGCATGCTGGGGGAGTTTGTATTGATTAACGAGGACAAAAGTGCATCCTGTGTGATATTGATTAACGAGGCCAAAACAGCATCCTGGGGGAGTTTGTATTGATTAACGAGGACAAAAGAGCATCCTGTGTGATATTGATTAACGAGGCCAAGAGAGCATCACGTGTGATATTGATTAACGAGGCCAAGAGAGCATCCTGTGTGATATTGATTAACGAGGCCAAAAGTGCATGCTGGGGGAGTTTGTATTGATTAACGAGGCGAAAAGAGCAACCTGTGGGACAGCTGGATTCAGAGAGTCCACCTGAGCATGAGCCCGAACTCATGAACTTCGATCATATGATCTTGAACAAGTTACGTCAGTGCTCTGAGCCCCGTTGTGTTCGTTGGTAAAATGATAAGAGAAATTAACTGTATGGGTTTATTGGGATGAAATGGGATAATGTGTGAAAGCACAGAGGCATTCGAAAAACGAGAGATCGGTCTCGTGGTTTTGGTTGTTTAATAAAGTTGCGTTGCTTTAAAATAAAATAAAAAGATCCTAATCCAGACGCTGTATTTTTTTTTAATTTATTTTTTTTAAATATATTTTAATGATTTTTTTTTTTTTTTACAGAGAGGAAGGGAGAGGGATAGAGAGAGCGAGAAATATCGATCAGCTGCCTCCTACACACCTCCCGTTGGGGATGTGCCCGCCACCAAGGTCCATGCCCCTGACCGGAATCGAACCCGGGACCCTTCAGTCCCCAAGACGATGCTCTATCCACTGAGCCAAACCGGTTTCGGCTCCTTTTAATCTCAAACGATGGCCCTGCTGGATGCTGGGTGGGGGTAAGGGGAAGAGATCAACCAAAGGACTTGTGTGCATGCATATACGTCTAATCAATGGACACAGACAACAGGGGAGTGAGGTCATGAGTGAGGGGGGCTGAGGGGTTATAGGGGAATAAGGACACATATAGAATACCTTAAACAATTAAAAAAAAAAAATTAGCTGAAACCGGTTTGGCTCAATGAATAGAGCGTCCGCCTGGTGCCTGAAGGGTCCCGGGTTCGATTCCGGTCAAGGGCATGGACCTGGGTTGCGGGCACATCCCCGGTAGGGGGTGTGCAGGAGGCAGCTGATCAATGACTCTCTCTCTCTCATCGATGTTTCTAGCTCTCTATCTCTCTCCTTTCCTCTCTGTAAAAAATCAATAAAATGTATATATTTTTAAAAATAGATTGCCGAAACCAGTTTGGCTCAGTGGATAGAGCGTCGGTCTGCGGACTGAAGGGTCCCGGGTTCGATTCCCGGTCAAGGGCATGGACCTTGGTTGCGGGCACATCCCCAGTAGGGGGTGTGCAGGAGGCAGCTGATCAATGACTCTCTCTCTCTCTCTCATCGATGTTTCTAGCTCTCTATCTCTGTCCCTTCCTCTCTGTACAAAATCAATGAAATCTTTAATAATTATAATAAAAAGATTAAAACAATAAAGGATTCTATTTTTTTAAAATATATTTTATTGATTTTGTACAGAGAGGAAGAGAGAGAGACAGAGACTTAGAAACATCGATGAGAGAGAGAGAGTCATCGATCAGCTAGCTGCCTCTTGCACACCCCCCTACTGGGGATGTGCCCTCAGCCACCAAGGTCCATGCCCTTGACCGGGAATCGAACCCGGGACCCTTCCGTCCGCAGGCCGACGCTCTACCCACTGAGCCACACCGGTCCCGGCAGATAAAGGGTTCTATAGAGGACTCAGGTCCACCTGTCTCCCCACCTCAGTACTCACAGTCTTTCTGATGCCAGCGGACGGCGTGCAGGTACACACCGCAGTAATGGAACAGGAATTCGTGGTTGGAGTGGCGAGCCCGGCCTTCCAGAAGCGGCATCAGGTTCTGGCCGTCGATCACTCTGAGGAGGGAGGAGGGAGAGGGAGGCGGGGGTTAGCCCCCTGTCTTATAACGGAAGGCCAGAGAGGAAGAAGAGGTTGGGGGGGGGAGGAAGAGGAAAGAGGGAGGAGAATGAGAAGAAGAAGGAGGAGGAGGAAGAGATGGAGGAAGAGGAGAGAGAAGAAGGAGAAGAAGGAGGAGATGGAGGAGGAAGAGATGGAGGAGGAGATGAAGGAGGAGGAGAGAGAGGAAGGGAGAGAAAGGGAAGGAGGAGTTGGAGGCGATGGAGAAGGAGGAAGAGATGGAGGAGGAGAGAGAGAAGGAGGAGGAGAAGGAGAAGGGAGAGTTGGAGGAGATGGAGGAGGAAGAGATGGAGGAGGAGATGAAGGAGGAGGAGAGAGAGGAAGGAGGAGAGATAAGAAGGAGAAGGAGGAGATGGAGAAGGAGGAAGAGATGGAGGAGGAGAGAGAGAAGGAGGAGGAGAAGGAGAAGGGAGAGTTGGAGGAGATGGAGGAGGAAGAGATGGAGGAGGAGGAGAGATAAGAAGGAGAAGGAGGACATGGAGGGGGAGAAAGGGATGAAGGAGGAGGAGAGAAGAAGGAGGAGAAGGAGAAGGAGAAGGAGAAGGAGAAGGAGAAGGAGGAGGAGGAGAGATAAGAAGGAAAAGGAGGACATGGAGGAGGAGGAGGAGGAGGAAGAGATAGAGGAGGAATTGGAAGAGGATGAGGAAGAGATGGAGATGGAGGAGAGAGAAGAAGGAGGAGAAAGAGAGGAGGAGGAAGAGATGAAGGAGGAGGAAAGAGAAGGAGGAGGAGTTGGAGGAGATGGAGGAGGAAGAGATGGAGGAGGAGGAGAGAGAAGAAGGATAAGGAGGAGTTGGAGGAGGAAGAAGAGATGGAGGAGGTGATGAAGGATGTGGAGAGAGAGGAAAGAGAAGCAGGAGAAGGAGGAGTTGGAGGAGATGGAGAAGGAGGAAGAGATGGAGGAGGAGAGAGAGAAGGAGGAGGAGAAGGAGAAGGGAGAGTTGGAGGAGATGGAGGAGGAAGAGATGGAGGAGGAGGAGAGATAAGAAGGAGAAGGAGGACATGGAGGGGGAGAAAGGGATGAAGGAGGAGGAGAGAAGAAGGAGGAGAAGGAGAAGGAGAAGGAGAAGGAGGAGGAGGAGAGATAAGAAGGAAAAGGAGGACATGGAGGAGGAAGAGGAGGAGGAGGAGGAGGAGGAGGAGGAGGAAGAGATAGAGGAGGAATTGGAAGAGGATGAGGAAGAGATGGAGGAGAGAGAAGAAGGAGGAGAAAGAGAGGAGGAGGAAGAGATGAAGGAGGAGGAAAGAGAAGGAGGAGGAGTTGGAGGAGATGGAGGAGGAAGACATGGAGGAGGAGATGAAGGAGGAGGAGGGTGAGGAAGTGGGAGAAGGAGAAGGAGGAGTTGGAGGAGATGGAGAAGGAGGAAGAGATGGAGGAGGAGAGAGAGAAGGAGGAGGAGGAGGAGGAGGAGAAGGAAGAGTTGGAGGAGATGGAGGAGGAGTAGATAGAGGAGCAGGAGGAGAGAGAAGAAGGAGAAGGAGGAGATGGAGGAGGAGATGGAGAAGGAGAAAGAGATGAAGGAGGAGGAAAGCGAAGGAGAAGGAGAAGGAGGACATGGAAGAGGAGGAGGAGGAGGAGGAGGAGGAGGAGACAGAGGAGGAATTGGAAGAGGATGAGGAAGAGATGGGAGGAGAAGATGAAGGAGAGGAGAGAGAGGAAGGAGGAGTAGGAGATGGAGGAGGAGGAAGAGATGGAGACGGAGGAGAGAGAAGAAGGTGGAGAAGGAGAAGGAGGAGTTGGAGGAGATGGAGGAGGTAGAAGAAGAGGTGATGATGGAGGGAGAGGAAGGGAAGGAGGAAGACACTGAGAAAGAGGAAGAAAAAGGAGGAGATGAGGAGGAAGAGGAAGTTTAAGCTTCATATTTTTTTTAAAAAAATTAATGGATGAATGCATCAATAAGTGAAACCACCAGCTCTCTCTCTCTCTCTCTCTCTCTCTCTCTCTCTCTCTCTCTCTCTCTCTCTCTCTCTCTCAGATTTGGAGAAGGCCGTGTGACTTCTTACCTATCCACGGGCAGAATTCCTCCAGCGACGTAAGACAGCGTTGGGTAAATATCCATGAGGCTGGTGGGCTCATCGATGACCTTCCCGGGCTCCAGCACGGCCGGCCACCGGAATATTCCGGGGACTCGGATGCCCCCTTCCCATCCGCCCATCCCTTTTCCTCCTATAAGCAAGGGTGAGGGGGCGGGGGGGAGGAGAGAAGATGAAGATTCAACTGTCATGGCGGACATGAAACCGGGACTGACGTTATGTGGGTGGTGGCGTGCTGGCCTCAGTGAGGGTGAGAGACAAGGTTGAGCGTTGAACCATGAACCAGGAGGTCAGAGGTTGGATTCCCAATCAGAGCATAAGCCTTGGTTCTTAGCTTGATCAATAGCTAGCTATCTATCTATCTATCTATCTATCTATCTATCTATCATCTATCTATCTATCATCTATCTATATCTATCTATCATCTATCTGTCTCTGTATCGTCTATCTATCGATGTATTTATCTATCATCTATGTATGTATGTGTGTATGTCTATGTATCAATCTATCATCTGTCTATCTGTGTGTCTTTGTGTCTATCATCTATCTTTGTATTAATCTATCATCTATTATCTATGTATCTATGTATCTATGTATCTATCTATCATCTATCTATATCTATCTATCACCTATCTATCTCTTTCTATCTATCATCTATCTGTCTCTGTATTGTCTATCTATCTATGTATTTATCTATCATCTATGTATGTATGTGTGTATGTCTATGTATCAATCTATCATCTGTCTATCTGTGTGTCTTTGTGTCTATCATCTATCTTTGTATTAATCTATCATCTATTATCTATGTATCTATGTATCTATCACCTAGGTATGTGTGTGTATGTATGTATATACCTATTATCTATCTATGTATAAATCTATCATCTGTCTCTGTCTATGTATCAATCTATCATCTGTCTATCTATCTGTCTTTGTATCTATCATCTAAATTTGTGTTAACCTATTATCTATTATCTATATATCTATGTATGTATGTATCCATCTATGTATATGTATATGTATGCATTTATCATCTATCTATATATAATTCTATCATCTGTCTATCTATCTTTCTATGTATCATCTGTCTCTATCTATCATCTATCTATATATGTATGTATGTGTGTATTTATTTATCTATGTCTCAATCTACCATCTGTCTCTCTGTCTTTGTATCTATCTACCATCTGAATTTGTATTAATCTATCATCTATGTATCTATATATCATGTATGTATCTATCATCTATGTATGTGTGTGTGTATATCTATCATCTATCTATGTATATATCTGTCTGTCTATGTATCATATATCTTTGTATCAATCTATCATCTATTATCTATGTATCTATGTATGTATCTTTCATCTATCCATCCATCCATCATCTGTCATTTGTCTATCATCTATCTATCTATATCTATCTATTTATCTATCAATAGCTATCTATCTATCATCTATGTATATCCATCTATTATCTATCATCTATCTATCTATTTATATCTATTTATCTCTATCTATCTACCTACCATCTATCTATATCTATCTATCATCTATCATCATCTATCATCTATCTTGTCTACCTCTCTGTGTATCTATCTATATCTGAGTATGTATCTATCTCTGTATATTTATCTATCTATCTATCTATCTATCTATCTATCTATCAATAATCTATGTATATCTATCTATTATCTATCATCTATTTATCTATCTATTTATATCTATTTATCTCTATCTATCTACCATATATCTATCTATCTATCTATCTATTTGTATCTATCTATCTATCTATCTATCTATCTATCTATCTATCTATCATCTATCTAGTGATTGACAACCATCACGACTTTATTCTGCAGGGCTTACCTGCCAATGTCCGAAGACAGTTTTGGTTTTTCAAATCGGGGCCAATGAGCTCCCAGGACCTGGTGGGTGGAGGCCAGAGAGGCTGCCCCCCAACCCCCCAGGGCACAGGCCTCCCCCATCTCAGCGTCACCAGCCCCAGATGTCAGCATGTGAGGGTGAGAAACCTGCCTCGTTAGCTGATGAGAGAGAATCATGGATGGGCTGCCTCCTACACGCCCCCTACTGGGGATAGAGCCCACAACCCAGGAATCGAACCCGGGACCCTTGACCAGGAATCGAACCCGGGACCCTTCAGTCCGCAGGCTGACACCCTATCCACTGAGCCAAGCCAGCGAGGGCAAAAACAATAAAGATTTTAAAAATAAAATAAAATTCAATGACAGTAAATAATTAATAATAATAAATAATAAGGCCAAAACCAGTTTGACTCAGTGCATAGAGCATCGGTCTGCAGGCTGTAGGGTCCCGGGTTCGATTCCCGGTCAAGGGCATGAACCTTATTTGCAGGCACATCCCCAGTAAGGGGCATGCAGGAGGCAGCAGATGGATGTTTCTGACTCTCTATCCCTCTCTCTTCTTTGCTGTAAAAAAAAAAAAATCAATAAAATATATTTTTTAAAATAAAAATAAAATAAAATAAAATCCAATGACAGTAAATAATAATAATAATAAATAAATAAATATCAGACAGTCCGACTCATCAAAATTTCCAAACACCATGTGCCCATCCATCGAGGCGTGAGCAAGCCCCTGGGCCTCACCTTTGTAGACCCCGTTCCAGCCGCCCAGGCGCTCCCCGCTGGCCTCAGCCTCCAGGCTGGCCCCGTGGTCCGAGGTGAAATATACCAGCGTGTGGTTGGCCAGGCACTCCTTGTCCAGCACCTCCAGGATCTTACCTGGGGACAGGTGTGACCGTCAGGAACCCATCACCGTTCAAGAGTCCAGAGATGAAAGATAATTTTGAAAGGCGTTGGGGGGGGGGGTCCGAGGAGCTTCAGCTGAAAGAGCTAAAGACTAACCCCTTGTCCCAGGACCCCTTGCTGTTTATTAACACAAATTGTCGGAAAGCGAGGTGGCTACAGACTACCCCTTGGCTCAGGGCCCCTTGCTGTTTATTAACCCAAATTGTCGGAAAGCAAGGTGGCTACAGACTACCCCTAGACTCAGGACCCCTTGCTGTTTATTAACACAAATTGTCGGAAAGCAAGGTGGCTAAATACTACCCCTAGACTCAGGACCCCTTGCTGTTTATTAACACAAATTGTCGGAAAGCAAGGTGGCTAAATACTACCCTTGTCCCAGGACCCCTTGCTGTTTATTAACACAAATTGTCAGAAAGCAAGGTGGCTACAGACTACCCCTTGTCCCAGGACCCCTTGCTGTTTATTAACACAAATTGTCAGAAAGCAAGGTGGCCACAGACTACCCCTTGTCTCAGGACCCCTTGCTGTTTATTAACACAAATTGTTGGAAAGCAAGGTGGCTACAGACTACCCCTTGTCTCAGGACCCCTTGCTGTTTATTAACACAAATTGTCAGAAAGCAAGGTGGCTACAGACTACACCTTGTCCCAGGACCCCTTGCTGTTTATTAACACAAATTGTCGGAAAGCAAGGTGGCTACAGACTACCCCTTGTCTCAGGACCCCTTGCTGTTTATTAACACAAATTGTCAGAAAGCAAGGTGGCTACAGACTACCCCTTGTCTCAGGACCCCTTGCTGTTTATTAACACAAATTGTCGGAAAGCAAGGTGGCCACAGACTATCCCTTGTCCCAGGACCCCTTGCTGTTTATTAACACAAATTGTCGGAAAGCAAGGTGGCTACAGACTACCCCTTGTCCCAGGACCCCTTGCTGTTTATTAACACAAATTGTCGGAAAGCAAGGTGGCTACAGACTACCCCTTGTCCCAGGACCCCTTGCTGTTTATTAACACAAATTGTCAGAAAGCAAGGTGGCCACAGACTACCCCTTGTCCCAGGACCCCTTGCTGTTTATTAACACAATTTGTCCAAAGGCGAGGTGGCTAAGTACTACCCCTTGTCTCAGGACCCCTTGCTGTTTATTAACACAAATTGTCGGAAAGCAAGGTGGCTACAGACTACCCCTTGTCCCAGGACCCCTTGCTGTTTATTAACACAAATTGTCAGAAAGCAAGGTGGCCACAGACTACCCCTTGTCCCAGGACCCCTTGCTGTTTATTAACACAAATTGTCGGAAAGCGAGGTGGCTACAGACTACCCCTTGTCTCAGGACCCCTTGCTGTTTATTAACACAAATTGTCGGAAAGCAAGGTGGCTACAGACTACCCCTTGTCTCAGGGCCCCTTGCTGTTTATTAACACAAATTGTCGGAAAGCGAGGTGGCCACAGACTACCCCTTGTCCCAGGACCCCTTGCTGTTTATTAACACAAATTGTCGGAAAGCAAGGTGGCCACAGACTACCCCTTGTCTCAGGGCCCCTTGCTGTTTATTAACACAAATTGTCAGAAAGCAAGGTGGCCACAGACTACCCCTTGTCTCAGGACCCCTTGCTGTTTATTAACACAAATTGTTGGAAAGCAAGGTGGCTACAGACTACCCCTTGTCTCAGGACCCCTTGCTGTTTATTAACACAAATTGTCAGAAAGCAAGGTGGCTACAGACTACACCTTGTCTCAGGACCCCTTGCTGTTTATTAACACAAATTGTCGGAAAGCAAGGTGGCTACAGACTACACCTTGTCTCAGGACCCCTTGCTGTTTATTAACACAAATTGTCGGAAAGCAAGGTGGCCACAGACTACCCCTTGGCTCAGGACCCCTTGCTGTTTATTAACACAAATTGAAAGCGAGGTGGCTACAGACTACCCCTTGTCTCAGGACCCCTTGCTGTTTATTAACACAAATTGTCGGAAAGCAAGGTGGCCACAGACTATCCCTTGTCCCAGGACCCCTTGCTGTTTATTAACACAAATTGTCGGAAAGCAAGGTGGCTACAGACTACCCCTTGTCTCAGGACCCCTTGCTGTTTATTAACACAAATTGTCGGAAAGCAAGGTGGCTACAGACTACCCCTTGTCCCAGGACCCCTTGTTGTTTATTAACACAAATTGTCGGAAAGCGAGGTGGCTAAATACTACCCTTGTCCCAGGACCCCTTGCTGTTTATTAACACAAATTGTCAGAAAGCAAGGTGGCCACAGACTACCCCTTGTCTCAGGACCCCTTGCTGTTTATTAACACAAATTGTCGGAAAGCAAGGTGGCTACAGACTACCCTTGTCTCAGGACCCCTGACTGTTTATTAACACAAATTGTCGGAAAGCAAGGTGGCTACAGACTACCCCTTGTCCCAGGACCCCTTGCTGTTTATTAACACAAATTGTCGGAAAGCAAGGTGGCTACAGACTACCCTTGTCTCAGGACCCCTTGCTGTTTATTAACACAAATTGTCGGAAAGCAAGGTGGCCACAGACTACCCCTTGTCCCAGGACCCCTTGCTGTTTATTAACACAAATTGTCGGAAAGCAAGGTGGCTACAGACTACCCTTGTCTCAGGACCCCTTGCTGTTTATTAACACAAATTGTCAGAAAGCAAGGTGGCTACAGACTACCCCTTGTCTCAGGACCCCTTGCTGTTTATTAACACAAATTGTTTGAAAGCGAGGTGGCTACAGACTACCCCTTGTCTCAGGACCCCTGACTGTTTATTAACACAAATTGTCGGAAAGCAAGGTGGCTACAGACTACCCCTTGTCTCAGGACCCCTTGCTGTTTATTAACATAATTTGTCCAAAGGCAAGGTGGCTACAGACTACCCCTTGTCCCAGGACCCCTTGCTGTTTATTAACACAAATTGTCGGAAAGCAAGGTGGCCAAATACTACCCCTTGGCTCAGGACCCCTTGCTGTTTATTAACACAATTTGTCCAAAGGCAAGGTGGCTACAGACTACCCTTGTCCCAGGACCCCTTGCTGTTTATTAACACAAATTGTCTGAAAGCAAGGTGGCCACAGACTACCCCTTGTCCCAGGACCCCTTGCTGTTTATTAACACAAATTGTCGGAAAGCAACGTGGCTACAGACTACCCCTTGTCCCAGGACCCCTTGCTGTTTATTAACACCATTTGTCCTACGTCGAGGTGGAGATGATACACTTCAAAGGGTAGGGTTTTGTACAGAAGCATTTGTCAGGTTGGGGAGGATTCAGGCCGGGCTGAGGGACCTCCTTCCATACATGAATTTTATACCCCGGGCCTCTCATATACCATGTTTCCCCGAAAATCAGACATCCTCCGAAAATAAGACCTACGTACAGGTTTCCTTCTGAGTGACATAGAAGGCGTCCCCCCTGAAAATAAGGCCCCCCTCCCCCCCGCTAGGCTAACCATGAGAGACTGGGTCCACGGATTCTGGGAGAAACTGAGTCACAAGACATTCGCCAGGAAATCCAGGCATGGGATGGTGAGGATGAGGTTCCAGAAGAGGATGATGACACGATGGTCATGGAATCAATGAGTCAATTCTCAATCCTGTAGGATTCACAGTTTGTCCGGTACGTCCTGCCGTACCGTCTACAGGGAATCAATTTCCTTTCTGTTCATTTAACGATCAATGTGCACCATATCCTTCTTCGTGGAAAAATAAGACATTCCCCTGAACATAAGACCTAGCGCCTCTTTGGGAGCAAACATTACTATATAAGACACTGTCTTATTTTCCGGGAAACAGGGTACTCTATATATTTTAATAGATTACAGATTATAGATTGCACTCTCTCGCAATCTGGGACCCCTCGGGGGATGTCAGAGAGCCAGTCTCAGCCCGATTCCCACAGCCCAGGCCGAGGGACCCTCTCACATGGGTGCATGAATCCATGCACTGGGCCTCCAGGAGGAAATATAATAAATAAATAGCACGAAGGAGCTAAAGACGACCCCTTGACTCAGGACCCCTTGCTGTTTATTAACACACATTGTCCTAAGTCAACGTGGAGATCGTAGCTCCTTCGTGTCCGAGCAACTTACCCACCATCCAATCCATCTCCTCCACGTTGTCGCCGTAGCGACCATGCTTGCTGCGCCCCACGAACTTCTCCCTGGTGACCAGCGGCGTGTGGACGTGCAGGAGCGACACCAGCAGGAGGAACGGGCCCCCCGCGTTCCTAGGGGGTCAGAGGTTGGACTCGGTTTTCCTCTCCAGCGAGAGGCGATATAGAGAATACCAGCCAGCATCGGGCCTAAACGGGCCGTCGGACATCCCTCAAGGGGTCCCAGATTGGAGACAGTGAAGGCTGGGCTGAGGGACACACACCCCTGCCCTATTGCATGAATTTCATGCACCAGGCCTCTAGTCTATTCTCCTTTAAAAGAGAAACATGCAAATAGACCGTCCCTCCGCGACACCGTCCAGCCAATCAGGAGCATGCATGCAAATGAACCCAACAAAGGTGCCCTTGCTGAGTCCATGGGAAGCCCCATTCTGGCAAAAAACTTTGTGTGCCGGGCCTCTAGTCTACACTTGTAATAGAGAAATATGCAAATTGACCGTCTCTCCGCCACGCCACCATCCAATCAGGACCGAGTATATAAATGAACCCAGCAAAGACGGCTTTGCTGAGGCTGCAGGGAGCCCATTCTTGCAGAAATCTTAATGCATCAGGCCTCTAGTCTACACTCCTAAAAGAAACATGCAAATCAACCATCCCTCCACCACATCCGCCAGCCAATCAGGAGCAAGTATGCAAATGAACTCAACTAAGACAGTTTCTCTGAGGTCGCAGGGAGCCCCATTCTTGCAGGAATCCCAATGCACCAGGCCTCTAGTCTACATTCATCAAAGAGAAACATGCAAATCGACCGTCTCTCCGCCACGCCCACCAGCCAATCCGTAGCAAGTATGCAAATGAACCCAACAAAGACGGCTTTGCTGAGGCTGCAGGGAGCCCCATTCTGGCAGGAATCCCAGTGCACCAGGCCTTTAGTCGATATTCATAAAAAAGAAACATGCAAATAGACCATCCCTCTGCCACACCTGCCAACCAATCAGGAGCAAGTATGCAAATGAACTCAACTAAGGCAGTTTCTCTGAGGCCGCACGGAGCCCCATTTTTGCAGGAATCCCAATGCACCAGGCCTCTAGTCTACATTCATCAAAGAGAAACATGCAAATTGACCGTCCCTCCGCCACGCCCACCAACCAATCAGTAGCAAGCATGCAAATGAACCCAGTAAAGACGGCTTTGCTGAGGCTGCAGGGAGCCCCATTCTGGCAGGAATCCCAGTGCACCAGGCTTCTAGTCGACACTCATAAGATGAAATATGCAAATGGACCGTCCCTCCGCCACACCCACCAGCCAATCAGTAGCAAGTATGCAAATGAACCCAACAAAGACGGCTTTGCTGAGGCTGCAGGGAGCCCCATTCTGGCAGGAATCTCAGTGCACCAGGCCTTTAGTCGATATTCATCAAAGAGAAACATGCAAATTGACCATCCCTCCGCCACGCCCACCAGCCAATCAGGAGCAGGTATGCAAATGAACTCAACTAAGGCAGTTTCTCTGAGGTCGCAGGGAGCCCCATTCTTGCAGGAATCCCAATGCACCAGGCCTCTAGTCTACATTTATCAAAAAGAAACATGCAAATGGACCATATCTCCGCCACACCCACCAGCCAATCAGGAGCAAGTATGCAAATGAACTCAACTAAGGCAGTTTCTCTGAGGCCGCACGGAGCCCCACTTTTGCAGGAATCCTAATGCACCAGGCCTCTAGTCTACATTCATCAAAAAGAAACATGCAAATCAACCATCCCTCCACCACGCCCACCAGCCAATCATGAGCAAGTATGCAAATGAACCCAATGAAGATGACTTTGCTGAGGTCGCAGGGAGCCCCATTCTTGCAGGAATCCCAATGCATCAGGCCTCTAGTGTACATTCATCAAAGAGAAACATGCAAATAGACCGTCCCTCTGCAACGCCCGCCAGCCAATCATGAGTGAGTATGCAAATGAACCCAATACAGACGCCATTGCTCAGGCTGCAGGAAGCCCATTCTGGCAGAAATCTTCATGCATCAGGCCTCTAGTCTACACTTGTAAAAGAGAAGCATGCAAATCAACCGTCCTTCTGCCATGCCCATCAGCCAATCAGGAGCAAGTATGCAAATGAACGCAACTAAGACAGTTTCTCTGAGGCCGCAGGGAGCCCCATTCTTGCAGGAATCCCAATGCATCAGGGCTCTAGTCTACATTCATCAAAGAGAAACATGCAAATCGACCATCCCTCCGCCACGCCCGCCAGCCAATCAGTAGCAAGTATGCAAATGAACCCAGCAAAGATGGCTCCAATGGGGCTACAGGAATCCCCGTGCATCAGGCCTCTAGTCTACACTATGTAAATTGACTGTCCCTCCACAACGCCCACCAGCCAATCAGTAGCAAGTATGCAAATGAACCCAATGACAATGACTTTGCTGAGGCTGCGGGAAGCCCCATTCTCGCAGGAATTCCCAAGGACTGGGCCTCTAGTCTACACTTGTAAAAGAGACATATGTAAATGGACAGTCCCTCCGCGACGCCCACCAGCCAATCAGGAGCGAGCATGCAAATGAACCCAGCAAAGACGGCTTTGCTGAGGCTGCAGGGAGCCCCATTCTGGCAGGAATCCCAGTGCACCAGGCCTCTAGTCGACACTCATCAAAGAGAAACATGCAAATAGACCATCCTTCCGCCACGCCCGCCAGCCAATCAGGAGCAAGTATGCAAATGAACGCAACTAAGACAGTTTCTCTGAGGTCGCAGGGAGCCCCATTCTTGCAGGAATCCCAGTGCATCAGGCCTCTAGACTACATTCATCAAAGAGAAACATGCAAATAGACCGTCCATCCGCCACGCCCACCAGCCAATCAGGAGTGAGCATGCAAATGAACCCAGCAAAGACGGCTTTGCTGAGGCTGCAGGGAGCCCCATTCTGGCAGGAATCCCAGTGCACCAGGCCTCTAGTCGACACTCATCAAAGAGAAACATGCAAATAGACCATCCTTCCGCCACGCCCGCCAGCCAATCAGGAGCAGGTATGCAAATGAACTCAACTAAGGCAGTTTCTCTGAGGTCGCAGGGAGCCCCATTCTTGCAGGAATCCCAATGCACCAGGCCTCTAGTCTACACTCCTAAAAGAAACATGCAAATCAACCATCCCTCCACCACACCCGCCAGCCAATCAGTAGCAAGTATGCAAATGAACCCAGCAAAGACGGCTTTGCTGAGGCTGCAGGGAGCCCCATTCTGGCAGGAATTCCCAAGCACTGGGCCTCTAGTCTACACTCATAAAAGAGAAATTTGCAAATGGACCGTCCCTCCGCCACGCCCGCCAGCCAATCAGGAGCAAGTATGCAAATGAACCCAATACAGACGCCTTTGCTGAGGCTGCAAGAAGCCCATTCTGGCAGAAATCTTCATGCATCAGGCCTCTAGTCTACATTCATCAAAGAGAAACATGCAAATCAACCATCCCTCTGCCACGCCCACCAGCCAATCAGGAGCAAGTATGCAAATGAACTCAAGGCAGTTTCTCTGAGGCCGCATGGAGCCCCATTTTTGCAGGAATCCCAATGCATCAGGCCTCTAGTCTACATTCATCAAAGAGAAACATGCAAATCGACCATCCCTCCGCCACGTCCACCAGCGAATCATGAGCAAGTATGCAAATGAACCCAACAAAGACGGCTTTGCTGAGGCTGCAGGTAGCTCCATTCTGGCAGGAATCCCAGTGCACCAGGCCTCTAGTCTACATTCATCAAAAAGAAACATGCAAATGGACCGTCCCTCCGCCACGCCCACCAGCCAATTAGTAGCAAGTATGCAAATGAACCCAGCAAAGACGGCTTTGCTGAGGCTGCAGGGAGCCCCATTCTGGCAGGAATCCCAGTGCACCAGGCCTTTAGTCGATATTCATCAAAGAGAAACATGCAAATTGACCGTCCCTCCGCCACACCCGCCAGCCAATCAGGAGCGAGCATGCAAATGAACTCAACTAAGGCAGTTTCTCTGAGGCTGCACAGAGCCCCATTCTTGCAGGAATCCCAATGCATCAGGCCTCTAGTCTACATTCATCAAAGAGAAACATGCAAATCGACCGTCTCTCCGCCACGCCCACCAGCCAATCCGTAGCAAGTATGCAAATCGACCATCCCTCCTGTACTCTCGCCAGCCAATCAGGAGCAAGTATGCAAATGAACGCAATTAAGACAGTTTCTCTGAGGTCGCAGGGAGCCCCATTCTGGCAGGAATCCCAGTCCACCAGGCCTTTAGTCGATATTCATCAAAAAGAAACATGCAAATCGACCATCCCTCCGCCACGCCCGCCAGCCAATCAGGAGCGAGCATGCAAATGAAGAATTACGAAAAACATCACAAATCCCACAGTCATATCCGCCCCCCCTCCTCACCTGCGGATGAAGCCAATAGCCTCTCGCAGCAGCAGCCCGGACGCCTGGCCCTCCCTCAGCGGCTGCTGCACCAGGTCGTGGTCCCTCGCGAGCACGCAGTTCCAGCGCCGGACGAAGCCGTAGCTGCAGAACCAGCCGGCGAAGAAGAGGGCGGCCAGCAGGGCGGCGCCCACCACCAGCCCCCAGGGCACCACGAACCAGCGGGCGCAGGCGGGCACCAGCAGGAGCACGGGCACCAGGGCCAGGGCCGCCGTGGACGCGGCCAGCGCCCCACGCAGGCGGCGGTGCAGCTCGGGGGGCGACCCCCAGGACGCCGAGCAGTCGCCCAGGAGGCCGAAGGGGAGGCCGTAGAAAAATTCGAACCCGTGGTGCAGGGGGTGGTGGCAGTGGTCCCCCCGGGAGGCGCAGCTGAGGCCCAGGTGCCACTTTCCTGCAGGGAAACAGGAAGGAGAGGAAGGGAGGGAGGGAGGAGAGGAGGTATGTGAGGGCCGGGCTGGGGCGGCTCAGTGGGTAGCGCGTCGTCGGACCGCGGATTGAGGGGTCCCGGGTTCGATTCCCAGTCAAGGGCATGGACCTTGGTGGCTGAGGGCACATCCCCAGTAGGGGGCGTGCAGGAGGCAGCCGATGGATGTTTCTCTCTCATCGATGTTTCTAACTCTATTCCTCTCCCCCTTCCTCTCTGTAAAAATCAATACAATATATATATTTTTTTTTTAAAAAAAAGAAAAGATTGAGACCTAACTTGTTTGGCTCAGTGGATAGAGCATCGGCCTGCAGACTGAAGGGTCCCGGGTTCGATTCCTGGGTCAAGGGCATGGACCTCGGTGGCTGAGGGCACATCCCCAGTGGGGGGCGTGCAGGAGGCAGCCGGTGGATGATTCTCTCTCCTCATGGATGTGTCTCTCTCTCTTTCTCTCTGAAATAAAATTATCTTTAAAAACTTTTTTAAAACCCATAGGTGTTGTGGCTCAGTGGATAGTGTGTCAACCTACAGACTGAAAAGTCCCAGGTTCGATTCCCGGTCAAGGGCATGGGCCTCAGTGGCGGGCACATCCCCAGTGGGGGGCGTGCAGGAGGTAGCTGATGGATGTTTTTCTCTCCTCCTGGGTGTTTCTGTCTCACTCTCACTCTCCCTTCCAGTAAAATATTAAAATTAAATTAAATTAAATTAAATTAAATTAAATTAAACTAATTTAATTTAATTTAATTTAAACATAAAATATAGGTGGTGGCCCTAGCCTGTGTGGCTCCGTGAATTAGCATATGTGTACTCATACATCTATTCATATATCTGCTCAGACATGTTCTCATATATCTACTCATATATCTATTCATACATTTATTCATACATTTATTTATATATCTACCTACACATCTACTCATGTATGTACTCACACATCTAGTCATATATCTGCTCAGACATGTACTCATATATCTGTTCACACATCTATTCATACATCTACTCATACATGTACTCACACATCTATTCATATATGTACTCATACATGTATTCATATATCTACTCTACATGTATTCATTTATTACTCATATATATGTACTCATAAATCTATTCATATATCTATTCACACATCTATTAGCACATCTGCTCATATACCTACTCACACATCTACTCATATATCTATCCATACATGTGTTCACATGCTACTCATATATGTACTCACACAACTATTCGTATATCTGCTCAGACATGTACTCATATTTCTACTCACACATCTACTCATATATCTACTCACACATCTATTCATACATCTACTCATATATCTACTTACACATCTGTTCATATATGTACTCACACATGTATTCACACATCTATTCATACATGTGTTCGCATATTGCTCATCTATGTGCTTATAAATCTATTCATATATCCGCTCATACATATTCATATATCTGTGCAGACATGTACTCATATATCTACTTATATATCTATTCATACATTTATTCATCCATCTACTCACATCCATCTATTCATATATCTGCTCAGACATGTTCTCATATATCTATCCATACACATATTCACATACTACTCATATATGTGCCCTTACATCTATTCATATATCTGCTCAGGCATGTATTCATATATCTACTCACACATCTATTCATACATCTACTCATATATCTACCTACACATCTACTCATACATCTACTCACACATGTATTCATATATCTATCCATACACGTATTCACATACTGCTCATATATGTACACATACATCTATTCATATGTCTGCTCAGACATGTACTCATATATCTATTCATACATTTATTCATACATCTATTTATATATCTACTCATATATCTACCTACACATCTACTCATGTATGTACTCATACATGTATTCCTACATCTATCCATACATGTATTCACATACTGCTCATGTATGTACTCACACATCTAGTCATATATCTACTCATACATCTACTCATATATCTACTTACACATCTGTTCATATATGTACTCACACATGTATTCACACATCTATTCGTACATGTGTTTGCATATTGCTCATATATGTGCTCATAAATCTATTCATATATCCGCTCATACATATTCATATATCTGCACAGTCATGTACTCATACATCTACTCATACATTTATTCATACATCTACTCATATATCTACCTACACATCTACTCATGTATGTACTCACACATCTAGTCATATATCTGCTCAGACATGTACTCATATTTCTACTCACATATCTACTCACATATCTACCTACACATCTGCTCATATATGTACTCACACATCTATTCACATATCTGCTCATACATATTCATATATCTGCTCAGACATGTACTCATACATCTACTCATATATATATTCATACATCTATTCATATATCTGCTCAGTAGATTATAATCATAATCTACTCACATATCTACCTACACATCTACTCATGTATGTACTCATCCATGTATTCCTATATCTATCCATACACGTATTCACATACTGCTCATATATGTACTCACACATCTAGTCATATATCTGTTCATACATCTACTCATTCATCTATTCATATATCTACTCACACACCTATTCATTCATCTACTCATATATGTATCACACATGTATTCACACATCTATTCATACATGTGTTCACATATTGCTCCTATATGTACTCATACATCTATTCATATATCTGCTCAGACATATAATAATATATCTACTCACATATCTACCTACACATCTACTCATGTATGTACTCATACATGTATCCCTATATCTATCCATACACGTATTCACATACTGCTCATATATGTACTCACACATCTATTCATATATGTACTCATACATGTATTCATATATCTACTCTACATGTATTCACTTATTACTCATATATATATGTACTCATAAATATATTCATATATCTATTCACACATCTATTCAAACATATACTCATATATCTACTTACACATCTGTTCATATATGTACCCATACATGTATTCACACATCTATTCATACATGTGTTCAAATGTTGCTCGTATATGTGCTCATAAATCTATTCATATATCTGCTCATACATCTATTCATACATGTGTTCATATATTGCTCATATATGTACTCATAAATCTATTCATATATCTGCTCATACACATTCATATATCTGCTCATACGCATTCATATATCTCTCAGACATGTACTCATACATCTATTCATACATTAATTCATACATCTACTCATATATGTGCTCATACATGTATTCATATATGTGCTCATATGTGTATTCATATATCTACTCTCCATGTATTCATTTATTACTCATATATATGTACTCATAAATATATTCATATATCTATTCACACATCTATTCAAACATATACTCATATATCTACTTACACACCTGCTCATATGTGTACTCATACATGTATCCACACATCTATTCATACATGTGTTCATATGTTGCTCATATATGTGCTCATAAATCTATTCATATATCTGCTCATACATCTATTCATACATGTGTTCATATATTGCTCATATATGTGCTCATAAATCTATTCATATCTCTGCTCATACACATTCATATCTCTGCTCATACGCATTCATATATCTGCTCAGACATGTACTCATACATCTATTCATACATTTATTCATACATTTATTCATACATCTACTCATATATGTACTCATACATGTATTCATGTATGTACCCATACATGTATTCATATATCTACTCTACATGTATTCATTTATTACTCATATATATATGTACTCATAAATATATTCATATATCTATTCACACATCTATTCAAACATATACTCATATATCTACTTACACATCTGCTCATATATGTACCCATACATGTATTCATACATCTATTCATACATGTGTTCACATGTTGCTCGTATATATGCTCATAAATCTATTCATATATCTGCTCATACATCTATTCATACATGTGTTCATATATTGCTCATATATGTACTCATAAATCTATTCATATATCTGCTCATACACATATATCTGCTCATACGCATTCATATATCTCTCAGACATGTACTCATACATCTATTCATACATTTGTTCATACATCTACTCATATATGTACTCACACATGTATTCATATATGTACTCACACATGTATTCATCTATCTACTCTACATGTATTCATTTATTACTCATATATATATGTACTCATAAATATATTCATATATCTATTCACACATCTATTCAAACATATACTCATATATCTACTTACACATCTGCTCATATATGTATCACACATGTATTCATACATCTATTCATACATGTGTTCACATGTTGCTCATATATGTGCTCATACATCTATTCATACATGTGTTCATATATTGCTCATATATGTACTCATAAATCTATTCATATATCTGCTCATACATCTATTCATACATGTGTTCATATATTGCTCATATATGTACTCATAAATCTATTCATATATCTGCTCATACACATATATCTGCTCATACGCATTCATATATCTCTCAGACATGTACTCATACATCTATTCATACATTAATTCATACATCTACTCATATATGTGCTCATACATGTATTCATATATGTACTCATATGTGTATTCATATATCTACTCTCCATGTATTCATTTATTACTCATATATATGTACTCATAAATATATTCATATATCTATTCACACATCTATTCAAACATATACTCATATATCTACTTACACATCTGCTCATATATGTATCACACATGTATTCATACATCTATTCATACATGTGTTCACATGTTGCTCATAGATGTGCTCATAAATCTATTCATATATCTGCTCATACACATTCATATATCTGCTCAGACATGTACTCATACATCTATTCATATATTTTTTCATACATTTATTCATACATCTACTCATGTATGTACTCATACATGTGTTCATATATGTACTCGTGCATGTATCCATGTGTGTACTCATACATGTATCCATGTATCTATTCACACGTGTGTTAAATTCTTCCCCCACCATCTCCTCTCCAGGAGGTGCCATCGGCTGGAGGGAGCCCGGCCTACCGGACGGGAGGGAGGCCCGTCCCTCGGACCCCGCGTCCGTGTCTGAGCCCCCCCCGGTCCGTACCTACAAGCCCCGTGCGGTACCCCCTGTCCCTCAGGAGCTTGGCGAAGGTGGTCTCGTTGGTGGGCAGCCCTCCGGAGCTGCCCAGCCAGGCCAGGTCCCGGTTCAGGTTGAAGGCTGATGCCATGCCTGGCGGGGACAGAAGCAGAGGACAGGTGAGGGCCACGGACATGGGGAGAGGAACCTGGGTTTGGGTAACGAGAGGCTCGTTGCACAAATTTGTGCACCCGAGGGGGAGGGGGGTCCCCCGGCCTGGCCTGCAGGGGATCGGGGGTGACACCCGCTCTCTGACGTCGCCCGAGGGGTTCCGGATGGCGAGAGGGTGCAGGGCAGGATCTATATCTTTGTCTATATCTATATCTATGTCATCTTATCCATATCTATATCTATATCTGTATCTATATCTATATCTATATCTATATCTATATCATCTTATCCATATCTATATCTATATCTACATCTACATCTACATCTACATCTATATCTATATCTATATCTATATCTATATCTATATCTATATCTAAATCTATATCTATATCTATATCTATATCTATATCATCTTATCCATATATCTATATCTATATCTATATCTATATTTATATCTATATCTATATCTATATCTATATTTATATCTATATCTATATCTATATCTATATTTATATCTATATCTATATCATCTTATCCATATATCTATATCTATATCTATATCTATATCTATATCTATATCTATATCATCTTATCCATATCTATATCTATATCTATATCTAAATATATATCATCTTATCCATATCTATATCTATATCTATATCTATATCTATATCTATATCTATATCTTATCCATATCTATGTTATCTACATCTATAGCTATATAATCTATATCTATCTATATATATCTTATCTATATATAATCTATATCAATAAATCTCTATATATATCTTATCCATATCAATATAATCTATATCTATATATCTATATCTATATCTATATCATCTTATCCATATATCTATATCTATATCCATATCTTATTCATATCTATGTAATCTACACCTATAGCTATATAATCTATATCTATCTATATATATCTTATCTATATATAATCTATATCTATAACTCTATATATCTATATCTATATCTTATCCATATCTATATAATCTATATCTATATCTATATCTATATCTATATATATATCTACATCTTATCCATATCTATGTATTCTATATCTACATCTATCTATAACATCTATATCTATATCTATATTTATATAATCTATATCAATATCTATATTTATATCATCTATATCTATATCTAATGTATATCTATCCATTGCTATATCTATCTATCTATCTATCTATCTATCTATATCTATACTACAGGCCCCGGTGCACAAATCCGTGCCCCCGTGGGGTCCCCCGGCCCGGCCTGCAGGGGATCGGGGCCGACACCGGCTCTCTGACGCCCCCCCCGATGGGTCCCGGACGGCGAGAGGGCGCAGGCCAGGCCTGGGGGCCCCCCCGGGGCAGGATTGGGGCCGGGGAGGGACGGGGAGGTGGGCCGGCCGGGGAGGGACCGAGGGGGGCTCCAGGGCGTGTCCGGCCCGTCTCGCTCAGTCCCCATCGGCCGGACCCCAGCAGCAAGCTGGCCTGCTGGTCGGAGCATCTGCCCCCTGGTGGTCAGTGCACGTCACAGCGAGTGATTGAGCGGCCTTAGCATATCATTAGCATATTACGCTTTGATTGGCTGAATAGCCGACTGGTCGACCAGGCACTTAGCATATTAGGCTTTTATTCTATAGGATGGGAAAGGGAGGGAAGGAAGACTAGATAAGAGCATCTGGACAGGCATGGCTCAGTGGTTGACCGTCAACCTAGGAACCAGGAGGTCAGGGTTCGATTCCCGGTCAGGGGCACAGGCCCTGGTTGCGGGCTCCATCCCCAACCAGGAGGGGGCGTGCAGGAGGCAGCCAATCCACGATTCTCTCTCTTCTTGGTTGTTTCTCTCTCCCTCTTCCTCTCCCTTCCTCTCTGAAATTAAAAAAATAATAATAATTAGAAATAATAATAAACAAATAAACAAAATAGCAGTTCCACTGGCATTGATTGAACGGTTGCAGAATTCCAGAGCTATTGGAGGTCATTGCCTGTATGAAATCAATAGAAACACGTTTTTTTTTTTGTTTTTGTTTTTTTTAATTTTTCATCCAAGGATATGTTCCCATTGATTTTTAAAAATGTATTTTATTGGTTTTCTTACAGAGAGGAAGGGAGGGGGACAGAGAGCCAGAAACATCGATGATGAGAGAGACACATCCATCCGCCGCCTCCTGCACGCCCCCCACTGGGGATGTGCCCTCAGCCACCAAGGCCCATGCCCTTGACCGGGAATCGAACCCGGGACCCTTCCGTCCGCAGGCCGAGGCTCTATCCACTGAGCCACACCGGCCAGAGCACTTAAATTAGAAATGGAGGAAGGAAGGGAGGAAGGAAAGGAAGGAGGGAGAGAAAGATTGAAGAAAGAAGAAAAAGGGAGAAAGAAAGAAAGAAAGAAAGAAAGAGAAAGAGAGAGGGGAGAGAGAGAGAGAAAGAAAGAAAGAAAGAAAGAAAGAAAGAAAGAAAGAAAGAAAGAAAGAAAGAAAGAAAGAAAGAAAGAAAGAAAGAAAGAAAGAAAGAAAGAAAGAAAAGAAGAAGAGAAAGGAAGGAAGGGAGGGAGAAAGGAAGGGAGAGAGAGAGAGAGAGAGAGAGAGAGAGAGAGAGAGAGAAGGGGGAAGAAAGGAAGGAAGGAAGAAGAAGAAAGAAAGAAAGAAAGAAAGAAAGAAAGAAAGAAAGAAAGAAAGAAAGAGAGAGAGAGGAGAGAGGAGAGAGAGAGAGAGAAGAGAGAGGAGAGAGAGGGAGAGAGAAAGAAAGAAAGAAAAAAAAGAAAGAAAGAAGAGAGAGAGAGAGGAGAGAGAGAGAGAGAGAGAGGAGAGAGAGAGAAAGAGAGAGAGAGGAGAGAGGAGAGAGAGGGAGAGAGAGAGAAAGAAAGAAAGAAAGAAAGAAAGAAAGAAAGAAAGAAAGAGAGAGAGAGAGAGAGAGAGAGAGAGAGAGAGAGAGAGAGAGGAGAGAGGGAGAGAGAGAGAGAAAAGGAAAGAAAGAGAAGAAAGAGAGATAGAAAGAAAGAAGAAATAAAAGAAAGAGAAAGAAAGAGAACGAAGGAAAGAAGGAAGAAACAAAGAAGGAAAGGAGGAAGGAGAAGAGAGAGAGAGAGAGAGAGAGAGAGAGGAGAGAGAGAGAGAGAGAGAAAAGGAAAGAAAGAAGAAGAAAGAGAGATAGAAAGAAAGAAGAAATAAAAGAAAGAGATAGAAAGAGAACGAAGGAAGAAAACAAGAAGGAAAGGAGGAAGGAGAAGAGAGAGAGGGTGGGGGAGAGAGAGAGAGAAGGCCGTGATTCGGACTCACCGGAGCGGACGGGGTAGCGGCCGGTCAGGAAGGCGGCCCGGCTGGGGGTGCAGGTGGAGGCGGGCCGCCAGGTGCTGGGTGAGCATCACGCCCTCGCGGGCCAGGCGGTCGATGTTGGGGGTGCTGCGGGCGGACAGACGGACGGACGGACGACAGAGAGACGGCGCCTGAGGCCCTGAACCCCCCGGCCCGGCCCAGCGCACGATTCGGCTGACCCACAATTCCCTCCCATCGTGGGCGTCTCTCTCTCTCTCTCTCTCTCTCTCTTCTCTCTCTCTCGCTCTCTCTCTCTCGCTCGCTCGCTCGCTCCTGCTCCCTTCCCCTCCGAAATCAATAAAAATCCCACAGAATCAAAGGCCTTTCGGTTTCGGGGGGTTCAGACGGGTCTGTGTCCCACCAGGGGGCAGACCGTCGGACCGGCCGACCGGTCGCTATGACGTGCACTGACCACCAGGGGGCAGACCGTCGACCGGCCGACTGGTCGCTATGACGTGCACTGACCACCAGGGGGCAGACCGTCGACCGGCCGACCGGTCGCTATGACGTGCACTGACCACCAGGGGGCAGACAGCCGACCGGCCGACCGGTCGCTATGACATGCACTGACCACCAGGGGGCAGACAGTCGACTGGCCGACCGGTCGCTATGACGTGCACTGACCACCAGGGGGCAGACCGTCGACCGGCCGACCGGTCGCTATGACGTGCACTGACCACCAGGGGGCAGACCGTCGACCGGCCGACTGGTCGCTATGACGTGCACTGACCACCAGGGGGCAGACCGTCGACCGGCCGACCGGTCGCTATGACGTGCACTGACCACCAGGGGGCAGACAGCCGACCGGCCGACTGGTCGCTATGACGTGCACTGACCACCAGGGGGCAGACAGTTGACCAGTTGACCAGTTGACCAGTCAACCAGTCGCTATGACGTGCACTGACCAGCAGGGGGCAGACAGTCAACCGGCCGACCAGTTGCTATAACGTGCACTGACCACCAGGGAGGCAGACGGCCGACCGGCCGACCGGTCGCTATGACGTGCACTGACCACCAGGGGGCAGACAGCCGACCGCGGACCGGTCGCTATGACGTGCACTGACCACCAGGGGGCAGACAGCCGACTGCCGACCAGTCGCTATAACGTGCACTGACCACCAGGGGGCAGACAGTTGAGCGGTCGGCCAGTCGCTATGACGTGCGCTGACCACCAGGGGGCGGACGCTCCGACCAGCAGGCCAGCTTGCCGCTGGGGTCCGGCCGATGGGGACTGAGCGAGACGGGCCAGACACGCCCTGGAGCCCCCCTCGGTCCCTTCCCGTCTGGCCAATCCGGCTCTCTGGCGCCCCCCGAGGGGTCCCGGATGGCGAGGGGGCGCAGGCCAGGCCTCAGGGCTCCCCCCGGGGCAGGATCGGGGCCGGGGAGGGACGGGGAGGTGGGCCGGCCGGGGAGGGGCCGAGGGGGGCTCCAGGGCGTGTCCGGCCCGTCTCACTCAGACCCCATCGGCCGGACCCCAGCGGCAAGCTGGCCTGCTGGTCGGAGCGTCCGCCCCTGGTGGTCAGTGCACGTCATAGCGACCGGTCGGCTGGTCGGCTGCCTGCCCCTGGTGGTCAGTGCACGTCATAGCGACCGGTCGACCAGTCGACTGTCTGCCCCCTGGTGGTCAGTGCACGTCATAGCGACTGGTCGGCCGGTCGGCTGTCTGCCCCCTGGTGGTCAGTGCACGTCATAGCGACCGGTCGGCC